GCCAGGCTAGCTTAGAATTTATTATGTACTATAAACCTCAGACTTGTAGCAATCCCCCTGCCTCAGCATCCTGAATGCTGAGATAACAAGCATGAGTCATCATACCCAGATACATTTTTTTCTTTTTAACTTGTGTTTTCTAACAACCACATAACTTCACCCCCACCCCCCACCCCGCCACTTCATAGATGGGTATCCTGGGGCTGACGTAAGCAGGAAGCATTCTGGAACTGTTAAATGACGAAAGACCCTTGTTTTTTTTGCCTGTTATCTCCGCCTATCACATAATGTACCAGCTAAAGAAGCTAAAGGTCACCGCTGAGGTTGTCTGCACTTGGAGCTCCTACGTAACACAGTGAACACTCACAGCATGTGTGCAAGCACACACCAAACCTGCCAAAGGAGTGTGACAGACAACTGCACGTCAGCCAACCAGGGACAGTCAATCCATCATACCCCCAAAAGCCAGAACTCTACCTATAGTCAGCGAGGTGGTGTCTCTTCCTGTGCTTCTGCCTGGCTTGTTAGCTTTGACCCAGTCGGGGTTACACAGGGATGAAACACCACGACAAACGCAGCTTGAGGAGGAAAGGCTTTGTTTGGCCTATACTTCCACAGCCCTGTTCATCTCAGAGAAAGTCAAGGCAGGAACCTGGAGGCAAGAGCTGATGCAGAGGCCGTGGAGGGGTGCTGCTTACTGGCTTGCTCCCCATGGCTCACTCAGACTGCTCTTGTAGAGAACCCAGAACCACCAGCCCAGGGACGGCACCACAGGCAATGGGCTGGGCCCTCCCCCATCAGTCACTGATTAAGAAAATACCTTTCAGGCTTGTCTATGGCACAAACGTCTAGAGGCAAGAACCTAGTTGAGGCCCCCAGATCTCTGATGGCTATAAAACCAGTCAGCAGAGTCTCCTTGTTTATTCTGGTGGGCAACGTTCTCTCGCCCTCTTCTGGTTCTAAGTGTTTCCTGGGTCCTGTTTCGTTTTTGTTGAAGTAAACCCTCTTAATTTAATCTATCTGAAGTTTTGCCTCTTAACAACGTCTATTGCCAGACATTGTGTTCGTCCCCACATAATAAATGATAAAACATTATTGCCCGTTTTGCTTCCTTATCCATAACTGTGTGAAAGTTTATCCGAATTTTCCAACTTTGTGCACACATTACGCAAGAATCACCATGAAAGCCATTGCACAAAGCAGTATTTGCTTGCAGTTGTTTCCCTCCAATCCCGAAGCGCGAAGACATTTGACCAACAGAAAGCTTTCCATAACTCACCTGGCCAAAATCTGACAGACACGAGCCTCACACACTTGGCTACCAACTTCATCCTGGCTTGAACTGGCTTAAGGCTGCTTCTGACCTATGCCGGTCACCGTCCCTGGGAGAGCTCACACATTTCAGGCTACATCATCCATCTGTCTCCCAGGGCGGCTGTGCTCTCCGTGTCTTACCTATGATGTGGCCTGCTTACTGTATCATGACTTCAAGTTCCCCAAATCCTAAATTACAAGCACTGCTGGGTCCCCAGGGTTTCCGGTGAGCATTTTTAATCTTTCTCTTCTTTCTTATATTTTAAAAATAATTAATACTTATTTTTTTTCTAGTCTTTATATTTCTATATAGAGAATTCCTTTGGCCTTTTTACATAAGCACTTTGTGACATTAGGAAATTCAAGTACAACCTTTCCTAAACATCATTCTCAGAAAATTATCCTACATTCCACATGCCCAGTTTTTAATTGTTCATTGATTGTGAAACACTCCAAAGAATCTGAGCCTTTTTTAAACCACTCAAACAGTGTTTAAGTGTGGAAGGCTGCTTTACAGACCATTAGTTTTTTGACCTGTCTTGAATATGCATTTTATAATCTTATCCAGGATTGGATTAACTTGAGATAACTTAACATAATTAAGCTTGAGATGGTTTCAACAGGCAGTAAGTGTCTAACTGTTCTTTGAGCTCTCTCTGTCTCTTTCTCTCTCTCTCCCTTTATGCCCCAGCCCCAGCTTTACTCCCAAGGTTACTTTTTCCTGTTCATCCATCACATTCTTCCAGTCTTTTTGCATGATCTCAGAAACACAGGTGCCAACCCACAGCTTCTGAACATCCATTAAACCTGACATTTAGAAATGTGGAAATGACACTGAATTATTACTCACTAAGGGAAACTTTACATGACAGGCAACTGACTCATTAAGCTTAGTTCTAAGCACCAAGAAAAGATTCCCTAATGAAGGCTGAGAGGAAACCCCCCAGATCTCAGACATTTCCTAGCTTTTCTGTGGCAAACCAGAGGTTATTACAGAAGATGCCGTCACAGAATACACACCTACAGGCTTAAAATAGGCGGAGTACTTCCCCCTTCTGAAGCAGAATCCAAGGACTGTGACGTCTTCTCCACCTGAACATTGTTTCTGCAGTCAGTACCTCGGTTTCCACAGCAGGGTTGAAAAGTCTGAACTTTTAGCAGAGGAAAAAAAAAAAAAAAAAGAATTTCCCTAGGATTACTCACACGCAAGCAATAGTGCCTGTGTGAGTGCAGTGAGTGTGTGTGCGTGTTATCTAAAGAGCCTCCATTCAATTCCAAGTTGAAGTGGCTTCTATTTGGAGCCCACATTTTAAAATTATTTATTAATCTGTATAATATCCGCATGACATAAATTAGTGCAAGTCTGGCCACTTTACAGGGACTGATTAAGCATGTTAGGTATGTTCTCACTTTATTTTTTTATTCTGAAATAAGGGAAGACCTTAGACTCCTAGCTGCCTCACTGCTGCATGACACAGCTGTTTTTCTGTGTTCCGAGCTATATTGGATGATCCTATGGTTCTTATTTCCCCCTTACTAAATGCTTATTGAGCAGGCAGCAGGGTTGAAAACCTAAAGTGAATGGAGAGGGCACAGCTCACTCAGAAATGGGAAGAAGGCCACATCAGCAGGGTTCCCGGTGTACTACCCACAGCTCTGCGGATTGCTGTCCTCCCTGGCAGACGTCCATGGCACCAGCTCCCGCAGCCGCCCTCTCTCAATCTGCCCAGATTGTTCTCACACCTGAGTCCTTCTGCAGAGCTTCACCCACAGGGCCTCGCCATGCCCAGACCTCACTCTGCTGCCAAAAGCAGTAAGTGACCTGCCAGACGTGGTGTGCACAGAGCTAGGATCAGCGCAGAGCCGAGAGGCAGATGCTTTGATCCCTGTGAGGTACGAGAGACGTTTCCACGAACAGAAATGCCCCATCAGCCATTACTAATGGTCTTCAAAGAGTAATTCGAAAGTGCAGAGAAAATCCCTCATGAGAATCTTAACTAATGTGCCTCCGTTGGGGAATTCTGAAAAGAAGAAACAAGCTGTGACGTCTCTGCTTCTAGTTTCAACGTCCTGCTTATGTGCAAAGCCTCATCTCACTGCAGGCTCATTCATTCGAGTTCTTTCATAAAACATGTTTTACTGTCCCTCTTTTCCGGTTGCTGCAGCTCTACAAATACAATAAATCATTAGGACTGGCTAGTCATGGAGTACAGGCTGACTGTGCTGAGAAGCTCTGGGGCTCCAGGTGGCTCTGCCCGCAAGAGGCTTCCATTCTGGGAACTTGAGCTGATCTGCAGAGCAAAGCCATGAACAGAACACTTAAGTACATGGCCTTGACGGTTAGGCGTTTGTTGGAAAAGCAAAAAGATAGTCTCCTGTCTGTACCATTCAAGATCAAGTATCAAAATGAATCCTTTAACAGGCTTTTACATAATACCAAACTTGAGTCACAGAAGGTAAGTTTTCTTGAAATGATAGCGGAGGTTTTTGGTGTTAATTGCTATGAAAGAAGATTCTACGGCAGTACCTGAATTAATGCTAACATCATGAGACTGAATTGAAACAATAACAAATATTAGTCATTACTTCTTTATGCTCTTGATGGTGATGGCCCTCGCTGCTCTTTTTGTGAGGTTTGAACGTGGGGATTGTATTCCGTCTGTCTAATGGGAGTGGTCTCTGGGGGAGATGACAAAGATCCTTCTTGCAGTTGTCTGTGACCCCTGGGGCGTGTTTGCTCCTTTGGGACATCCAGGTCCATTTTCATCGCTGTTCAGAAGTGACGGGTACACACCTTATAGCTCCACTACACCCTGCCAGGGAACAATTCCCATTTAAATCCACTAAGCCAACAAGCCAGCTGCACTTCCAGCAGCCCTGTGGGCTCGTGGTAAGCGCTGTTGCTGATATAGTTGTCAAGTTAGGGACCTGGCCTGAGGAGTGGCCGTCATCTCTGCAGCCGCTGCCCTGGACTTCCTGATGGAGACTGGCAGGCCAAAGACGTTCAGCATCCAAGCAATGTTCACCACCAGTCTTCTGGGTCCTAGATGAGACTGGGAAAGAGAAATGGATTGAAGAAGCACGTGGGCAGGACTCTTGACTACTCATATTAACCCCTTGATTATTTAAAACACACATATTTATTCACATACATGTATATGTGAAGATATGTATATATACATATATATGTATGTACTTGCATATATATGTAAATATGTGTATATAGCTGTAAATATACACAGTGTGTGTTTGTATGAATAAACTATATATACATACACACATATACACACACACACATTATGTATCAATAAATCTCAAGTTACCTAGAGAAACAAACAAGTACTCAAGTTGTGAAGATGCTGGACCTGACACAGATGACGATTAGAAGCTAGCATGTAAACCAGACCAGTAAAATCATCTGATCCACGTACAACAGTTAACGCACTCTCAGTGCACAGTAGAGAGTTGGATCCCATTAGCAAAATCTCCTCAGAGTTGAGCAGCCAACGTTTACACAAGCGGCTCACACTAGTGAAGAATCCCAATCATTACTCCCCCATCAGCATCTCCTTCTGACCTGTGATCACAAATATGTTAGCAAATGTCCTATCTTGCTAGCTTCCATCTAAAAGGTTATCATTTCAGTTTTATCAATTATACCAAATTGAAACAAAAAAAAAAATCTCCCTGTTCCCAGGGGCGTTGCAGGTGTGGCTGCTTTGTCTAGTGTTCCTTAGTAGGTGGGAGAGAGGAGAGAGGCTGTCCTATGCTCAGTGTTCTGACTAAGAACATCTCAATGATTAGCAGCCTAACATTCCCTGAAAAAAGTGAGCTTGAGACGACCACCAGCCCATCTCTGAGGAGGCTCTGATGGGCTCCCAGGATGGGGAGTAAGCCAGAGCCTAGAAGAACCTTACCTGGCTCTGGGGGCCTGGGTGGAGTGAGCCAGGGACAGATGACCTCACATGAGGCCACTCGCGTGGGTTGGGCAAAGTGGAGCACTAGGTGACCACCAGACCAGTGTCATGGGGCCAGGACAGCGAGCTAGCCTGAGATGACCACCAGTCAGGTGCCACACAAGCCTGGGGGGAGAAGACCATGCCCCAGATAAGCCCTGAAAGCCCAAGTGGGACATAGCACTCCTGAGACCACTCCTGAGACGAGCCCTTGAAACTCACACCCCAGACACTACTACGAGGAGCAGGCAAGTGGTAGAGAAGTGGAAGAGAAAGAGAAGCAGTTTGTAGCATATGGTAACTGACGTGTAGCTCACTGATTCTGCTGGACTGGCTGGCCAGCAGGCCCCGGGAAGCACCTGCCTCTGCTTCAGCAGAACTGAGAGCGGGCACAAACTGCCGCACTGAACTTTTTTTTTTAACTTTTATTAATTACACTTTATTCACTTTGTATACCCCCATAAGCCCCTTCCTCCTCCCCTCCTGATCCTACCTTCCCTCCCCCTTCTTCACACATGCCCTTCCCCAAGTCCACTGATAGGGGAGGTCCCCCTCTCCTTCCTTCTGATCCTAGTCTATCATATCTCATCAGGAGTGGCTGCATTGTCATCTTCTGTGGCCTGGTCAGGCTGCTCCCCCCTCAGGGGGAGGTGATCAAAGAGCAGGCCAATCAGTTTCTGTCAGAGCGCACTTTTGAAAGGAGTGCCTGGGATCCAAACGCAGGTCTTCACACTTACAGAGCAAGCACTTCACCTAGTGACCCACCTTCCCAGCCCCAGTAATGCGACCTTCAGTCTGGCCCAATAAGTGACGCCAGGGTTGTATGCATGGGGGGCTGTGTAGGTGGGGTGTTGTGTACATGGAAGGTTGCGTACATGGGGGTTGTATACGTGACAGGTTATGTACATGAGAGGGGTGTAAAGGAAGGCCCGTGTGCATGAAGGTTTGTGTACTTGGTGTTTGTGTCCGTGAGGGGTTGTGCCCGTGGGCATCCACAGCCTGCCCTGCAGCTGTCAGGCACCATCAGGGCTGCACGTCTCATGACCTCACAGTCTAGGTGGCACAGAAGCCTCAACCAAAGAGACTCCTAGAGTGTCTTCCTGGGTCTGCCTTCTGGTTTTTGCAATGCGCATTTAATTGCACATGCATGGCACCGAATGCATGAAGTAAAAAAGTGGGGGATCTGAATGTCCAAAGCTTGGAAGCTTTCACTCATGGGTAGGATAGACAGTTGCTACAATATTTTTGACTGTTGTTCTAATAATTCTTATAAATATTATTTTTCAATGTAGAAAATAACTTGAATACAATTTAGTTGAAAACTTGGTGTTCAAAATTATTTGCAAGCTAGGACACCCCTCTGTAAACATCGAGGCTCGTGGTGGGAGGAGGAGTGGCAGGGTGTGTTCTAACATAAAGGTGTCTGCTTACGAGAGTTTGACAATTTCCTCCTTGGGTTTGGAAATTCTGATCATTTTGCTACATTGATCTAACACACTCAAGAACATTCTATATTCACTAGCGTGTGACTCGAAAGTTGTATCATTCGCAACTTTTCTGTCTTTGGTTTTTAACATTATTTATTTATTTAACATTATTTATTATTTATTTTAACATTTATTTATTGGAATAATAATAATAATAACTTGCCTAAACTAAAATAATTTGCTGAGGTCAGTCATAGGCAAGTTCAGAGTTCAGACCAGCCATAAGTGAACAACTTTAGAGAGTCTTGACGTCCATTTCTTTTGACTCAGCCTTCAAATATGGGTCAAGCTTTCTCACACTTGTTTCCCTATGGTAGGAAAAAGTCTGCTGCAGCTCCATGTCGGTTAGAGTGAGAGCAAAGGCAACTTTCATTCCCTACAGTGCAACCCACATAGACCCATCATTGAGACCAACACACAGCCCTGCTGGCTTTGAGTTAAATTACACATCCACATGCCAATGAGCAGCTCTGGCTATCGCTCCCATTTTGGCCGTACCTGTGGGAACATGAGACATCGCCACTTCTCTTAATTCTAGTTTGGCTATCACTCACTGTGGATACTGAACTATAAATATGAAGCCATGAAATGGTTGCTCAACAGGACTGTTGGCTTTGCAAAAGCAAATCTGTTCCTTCCCCCAAGCAGAAGAATCTTGATCCAGTGTGTGGCTTGCCAGGCTCTCTCTGCCCTCTGCCATAACTCCAGATGCGTAGCTGTCAGTGTTAGTCAGCCTTGGTACCAGAATGAAGCTGGGGGCTGTCGAGATGGCTCAGTGGGTAAAGATACTTTCTGCCAAGCGTCATGACTTGAACTTAGTCCTTGGGCTAACAAGGTAAAGAGACTTAATCAACTCCCAAGAGTGCTCCTCTGACCTCTACACACATGTCATAGCATTTGACTGCCTTATATATAGACACACACTCTTTTTACATGAATCTGAAGCTGAGTAGAGCCACAGTCCACCCATAGTGCACGAGAGACAGGAGCTGTACCTGCTGCAAGGAAGCTGTGGTTGAACAATAGACTAGAATGGTCTAACTGGACTGGAGTCTCTTACTAGACATTTCTTAACTTTCCAATCTTGGAAAAATTATTTTATTTTCTTTACTGGTAAAATAACTATAACATACAGAATTCCTATCATATACTCAACCACGACAATTGTTACAACTTATTAATGCGAATAATTACAATTTTTACTTTAGTAGAGAATTTTAACTTAGCTCAACGAATTCAGGAAGAAAAGTGCTGGTGTATCAATTTTTTTAAACTAATACAAAATTATAGATCCAAAGTTTATATGGAAAGAAAGAGAGGAGGGGAGAGAGAAAGAAAGAGAAAGATCTCATTTGTGGATAAAACAAAAAAATTCTTCACCCAGATATGCACCTTCATTCCTTGGAAAGCTCCTGTACAAGCTTTATTTTTCCTTAGCTTTGTTGTGTTTGGGTGCATGGAGGGCCACATCATGCACGGGGCAGAGCACAACCTTGCTTTCTTTCTCTCTTTCTCTCTTTCTTTCTTTCTTTCTTTCTTTCTTTCTTTCTTTCTTTCTTTCTTTCTT